GTTTGACAGAAGTTATAAAATATGATCCGGTACAACCAATATGTTTCATTTCCATCAAAGAAAATTGACCACTAGGGCTTTGTGTGGGAATACTACAAAGCAGATTTAACTAAATGAGAACACCCTTTTAATGTTCTATTTCATTTCCGTTTTGTATTTCAATTAGTAACAAAAGTCATACATGGAAAAATAAAAATGGAATTAACCAAGATCAAAAACCCTAATCTTTATTTCTCTCTCCATCTGCACAATCATGCATATTGTTTTTGTCTGCGCTTTCAAATTTTCCTTGGAGTTTTAGATTACGTCTGGATTAAAACACGCAATCCTCTAATTCCTGCAAACTCTAAAAATTCAAACTGGCACAAAATGCCATAGCAAGAGTCTAACTAGAGAAAACAAGTTGTCTGATTTCTTGTGGTGATGGCTTGATACAAACCAAACTCCCACAGACAGACATCTGCATGTGGAGAAATTTGTTGGTGAACTGATAAAGCTAAAGAGGGCAATTAGGAATTAGTTCATAAATCCAAAAAGTTTGAAGTGCATACCATATTAATTTCCATACAAATTATTGAAAGAGAAGTTCTTTCCTTTGTTGATTCTTGGCAGCTTAGCCATTGCATTGAGCATCAGAGAGATAATTTCACACCTGTCTAAAATTTACGATTCTCAAATTCTGAGTCAGTTCGAATTCTTTCTCAATCCCTGTGAACATTCTTAATTTCTTCTGTCTGACTTTCTGGTTCCAATGAAATAAACAAAATTTATATACAACCAGTTGCTATGCGTGTTTTTGGCACTGAACTATAAACAGTAAGTGTGATTAATTATGTAAGGATAAATAAGAAGTGATACACATAACATTCCTAGATTGTATGCACGTGCTGAGCAAAATTTTTTATTTCATTTTAAGTGAATTTTTATCATGAATTGATGGGTGAAAAGATAAAATAGACCTTGTTAGATCAGCCATTTATCACCCCTGTTGATGGCATTCACTATTCTAACTACAACTCATTAGCCTCTTTACAAAATTAATATTTTTTCTCTTAAGCCCTATTTACACGATCTGATTTGTAAGATGTGACTTGCCACATCTTACAAATCATACCGTGTAAATAGGAAAATCATAAGACAGATATGAAGTCAGATGGAGTCAGATGGAATAGAAACATGCTCTATTCTGTCTGGCAAGTCAGATGGCTTTAACCAATCATTGACAAGGTCAGAGAGGTTGATCTATATAAAGAAGAACTAACATGTGAATTTTTCCCGCACTTCTTCTCCAAAGATAATTCAATATCAATTAATCTTATTCATTGTAATTAAAATATGGGGGAAATCCTGAGAGGACATTTTCTATTGGCTGGACAGAAGAGAGAACTGAAATTAACTACAGAACAAACTGAAAGATTAGTAGAACTATATCAAGAAGAAGTAGATTTATTAAAACACAAATGGCTATTAAACTATCATCATCCTCCATTGTGAAATGTAAACAAAAAAAATTTGGAGGGAAATATTAATGAACTTCATGTCTGACAAATCATACTGTGTAAATGAAACACTGGAGTCAGATGTGAAATCACATCTGAAATCACATCTTACAAGTCAGACCGTGTAAACAGGGCTTTAGGTTCACAACTATAATACTGTCACTATCTCATAAAGTGATCATTAAGGTTTAAATCTATCTAATCATGGGAATTCTTTCTGTGATGTCTTTATGGACACCTTCAATCTTACCTAAGCATTCAAAATACTCATAATTTTTTTTTCTTGAATATTGACCAATCATTGTCTAAGCACAGGCTTTCTTACTCCAATGTTTTAAAACAATGCTAAAATACTGCCCAGATGTGGATAATTGGAAAGTCTGTATTTATTTAGATGATTATTTACACAGACAGGTTGGTTTGGGGGTATTTTGACTATTACACAAACAAGAGGTGTGACATACCTCACCTCCCATCAAAGAGAGTGTTTGGTTGGTATTCTTTGATGTTGCATTTTTATCTATATCTGTGTCAAAGCAGGTTAATTTGTCTAAATACTCCTATCTGTGCAACTGTTTCTTTTTGACTGGTGATTGGTATGAATTGGAGAGGGACACTGAACTTTTAAGGCCGGTTTACACTATGCATCTTGACACATGCATCTTGGATGCATGTGTCAAGATTCACAGTGTAAAAGCCCCTTGTGTCAAATTAAATGGGTGTTGCATCTTGAACAATGGAATAGAACTTGTTCTATTCCATGCTTCAAGATGCATGGAACTGACCAATGAAAAGAAAGGTCAGAGTTGATATTGAATCATGAGCCTTATTTTTTTCATATAGTTTCAAAAATAGCTTCCCAAGATACACAAAAACAGAAAATACCGATTGAAACTACAATTAGAAAAACTTATCTGATTATTATAATATTAGAGGAGTTTTTTTTTTGGATTAAATATGAATTATATCTTCCAAGAATTATCATATTAAGGAAATTAAGAATGATTTGTTCAGATAAAATAAATCTGGAAATGAAATTTGAAGGTATTGTTATTTTTTTAAGTAGATAAATTTCATCTTTACAAAGTATTCTAAAGATGCATGCATCAAGACACACAGTGTAAATAAGAAGATGCATGAGGCAAAATTGAAGCATGTGTTTAGATGCATGTGTCAAGATGCATAGTGTAACCCGGCCTTTACCAGCACCCAAAATCAACTGTTGCCATTAAATCATTTCATGACTATTTAACAGTCTCCTATCAGAGCAAATTCTGTTCAGAGTTCCCTGATAAAAGCCAGACTAACATTGATTTAGTGGTTCCAGCAGCCCCTGGTCTGGTCAGTGAGTGATTTAGGGGTTCCAGCAGACTCTGGCTTGGTCAGTATCTGGCCAGTTTAGTGATTTAGGGTTCGGGTCAATCTAGTTTATGACATTTTCAGGGATCACTCTGGATTTTAATGTTGATGGGCCAATGGCCCATCAACATTAAAATCCATGGGCCATACGCCCCGGTAGCAACGCCCCGGTAGGGGGTCCAGGGGGGCGAAGGCCCCCGGGAAAAATTGATTTTGTGATGAATTTCAAGTAAGTATGATGGGTCTTTGAGGGTTTTTAAATGCCATTTCTGACACAACTAATTTAATCTTTTTTAAAATAAAATGAATAATATTATAAATATAAAAGATTTTTTTTTAAAATTTCATCTCAGTACTGAAAAATGTCATATTGGAGAGTTAATTCCTCGCCCCTTGGATTTTATCGATTTAGTTCTCGAAGGTTGTTGAAGAGCTAAACTATAAAGGATGCAAACTTACATGCACATTTCTCTACTGAATATACCTGGGGCAGTTGCAGATTAAATTTGGTTCAAATGGTAGGGACTGGTTTTGTATGCAAAGAACTCGGAGTAAAATACGCAAAAAACTTAAATGAGAAAATTTTTATTTGTTTGCAAAACATTTTAGTCCCATCAGATCAAATTCCAACCACGGATGCAAAGTTAGCCAATTGGACTGGAAATGACGACCATCGCTGCCGTTGACATCAGGAGTCAACGTCTTTGACTGTTCTTCTTAATCAGAGACCTCTGCCGAGTCTGGGAATTAAAAATTTTCCGTCGTTTTATTTGTAAAACAAACGAAAGCTTTCGTTGTTTAGGGTCAGTTGGCCCAATACCGATCTTCGCTTTGGAGGCATTTCGGGCAAGTGTCTGGATACACAATGAGTAACTTGTACTTGTTTTGTTTCGAAATAAATAATCAAAGTTTTAAGAAATATTATTAGGACATATTACTTACTGGAGTATTACTTTCATATGTTTATTATTTAAATCATTACATATAATTTTAATAAATATAATTGACTCAGTATTCGGTAAAAAATTTCTAGTAGCGTAATCTAAACGAAGGAAATATTCCATGTACAACTCCGATTTTAGTCTTGATCAACCAGATGCTCTGCTGGTGTAAAGAACATACGCGACAACAAAGAGTCTGATTGAACGAAGTAACAGTATGCTCAGATACGTCATGAATACAATCGGTCAGCTTAAAAACGGTCCTAAAATGCACCAAGATAAGAGTTTTGACCCACAGTTTTGCATCTTATAGCGCCATATCTGTAAGACATGCGCCAGACTGACCCCTTTCTAATTTTTTAGTGCGCCATTTACAAATATTGAGCGCCAATGGCGCAAAGGCGCAGCCCAAAGTGATCCCTGCATTTTTATGTCTGGACACTTCCCCCTTGACTGGGCACCTGTTCTATTTTCTGATATGCATTTTAATCCTAGAATTCAATTAGCCTTCTTCTGAACAATCCTCAACAGGACCATAAAGCAGGGATCAGGCTGATTAACCGACTGACCACTGGGTACCAGTTTTACAACCCTACTGGGTACCAATAAAAAGATCCAGGAGGGGACCCCATGTTTTCCACAGCACCAGGTCAGACTTTACAGCAGTCATCAAAGTTAATGTTTTGCCTCCATTGACTGAGCAATAAATATGACATTTCATGAAAAGAAATTCAATTATCTTTTAAACTGTCTCCAAAAGACCTGAATAATAGAGTTACTATGGCTGAAATAAAGGCGGGCTGTGGATGACCTTTCTGGAAGGGAGGGCTCTCTATAATGTATTGGTACACTATGAGAACTTTATTGGATTTAATAATTGGATTTTCTCTCCTTCTACAGATTAACTTTAAACCTCCTGAACTTCATAAAACAGATAACCTGGCTGACATGCAGGCGATATGATGCTGAAAAAATGTTCACAAGAAACAAAACTTCTTTTCATAAAGCCCAGGAAATCTTGGGCCAAAATGATTATGTCAATGGAATAGGTTTTTTTTTAAATTGTGATTAATAACTTTTAAATATCGCATTTCCAATCAGGAGTTTAAAACTAATTTTAAGAAAGGAAAAAAAAGTTTAAATCTTTTTTCCAATGCATTGCTGACAATGATAAATTTAAAAGCAGGAGCAATGAACTCACCCGTCAATAATTCCCAATACACAAAACATTAATTCCAATACATCAGCCTGCTCATTCACACTCCAAGATCATGTTTTCGCAAACTTTTTCTAGATGAAAGTACAATGTTTAACAAACCATGCGCTATCAATACAAACTTCCTCCAGTGTAAATTATATAATACTCTTATAGCACTGTTACCCAGTATCTGAATGTTTCTCCATTAACAATTATTTCTCAGCTGCAGGTCCCTCAAGATGTGATAAACAAAAACAACCAATCACATCAAGGCAACACTTTTATGACCCCTGACCCCTGCAGAGGGAGTGTGTCTTAAAGGAATACCACATGGGGAGCGTTTATCTTGTAGAATGATTTAGCAATAGGTAACATAACATTGATATCACATCAAAGCTCAGCTACATGCTATCATTGTCTAAATCATTTCCTTTCTGTAGAAAAACATGTATTTAAAACTTTAATTTCACTGACTTCAAATTTTGATTGCCATAATAAAGAGATTTTTAAAGTCTCTTTATCTTGAGATCTTACATCATTTTCATGTCCTCCTAATTCAGAGAGTGGACTTGGTGACACTTTTATTCTTGGGCCTCATTTGAGTTTCTCCATAAAGAACAATTTCCCAGAGACAAACCCGACATTAGACCATACTCTCATTATGGTTAACTGATTATAATCTTCAGTACCGCGTCCCCTCCTCCTCCCCGAATTCCCCTGCTTTCTGCTGCACAATCCAGAGACAGACCAATTACACAGGGAATCACTAACACAAATTGATGGGCACTCTCCCAGCCTCACATTAAGGAATACTTCAGCCTACTGGTGCAGCATATTTGAGCAGAATGCAGCTGTAAAACTTCTGACAATCTTAGGGACAGAACAGAGTACTTTCTACTGTGGTAAATTATTTATGGATGTAAATACTAAATTGGACTCTCAGACTATTAAGTAGTGTATATTTTTAAGGAATGAATTCAATAGCTACCCATTTTATACGGTATAAACTGGGTTGGGGCAGTTTACGCTTTATAAACCGCGAAGCGGTTTATAAAAAAGCGTAAACTGTTCCAACCCAGTTTATACCATATAAAATGGGTAGCTATTAAATTCATTGCTTATAATTTAATTTTCATTCATTTGATGTTAGAAAAAAAATATTATTCTGACAAAATGACTTCGAATTTTACAAAATTTGAATGTAACGTCAGGCGGATTGATACGTTTTTGACGAAAGTCATTGTGACGTAGGCAACCCATTTTATACGATATGAAGCAAATTTTTCATCCAATCAAATACAGCGTTACAACCAGAATTAAATTATTTTGAAATATTATAAATTTTCATACAGTTTATTTTTTATGCTGTACCTTTCTTTTTTGGTCACAAATACCAAATTAGAAGATATACTCATTCCCTAAATCATCAGATTGGTACATATAGGTATATATGGAAAATAAGACCAAAACACAGACAAACAGATGGCTAGTCTAAACATTCAACAGCAGAATCTCGGAGAGAGCTATCAATAAGTAGGCCTCCACATGATACCCCCTGCTTTATATTTATAACTATACAATGTACCTCCAAAAATCTCTCCTCTTCATCAAGTAAATCACCTGTCTCTAACTTTTAAGAGACAAAAAGAAAGATCATTTATATATTTTTGATTTTTTATTACAAATTGTTCCTTTATGTTTAAGGGGGTTCCTCACACTTTTTGCACATTAGTCAAACTTGCACAATTTGGCAAACATCCACATTCAGTAATTATGCAATCAAGACAAAAAACTTAACCAATTCAGCTGCAATTGTCAGGGACAAAACCCAGGTGAAAAAACAAAAGTGCTAAACTATAAACAAGATTTCCAGCTGTTCCTCCAAAGTTCTGAGGTTCCCACATAACTGCCAACCCCCTCCAATCCAATGTCTGAGTGTTCCCCAGAAAAAGAACCCCCATAGGCATCCACATGTCTCGTAAAGCTATCCCGAAATAAACACACTTTTAACATTGTCTCTATCTACCAGATAAAATTCTGTGATTTAGAGAAATAACTGTGACTGTAACATAAACTTGCCAGGTCTAGGACATAAAAAACCTAATTCCAAGTGCACGAAGTCTTTCCAGCTCTTACAATGGAATTCTAAAAATAAACAAAGTACAACAACATAATTCTGGTGATTTGATTCAGCATCCAGGTGTACAAAAACACATAAGAATCACCCATATTCTCCATTCTTCTCTCTGATAGACAAGAAGATTGCAGTCAGTAGGTTTTATTACATTCCATAAATGACAGGGACATTTACTGGCCCCATGTAGAGATAAAATCTCAGACACTAGGGGGATGGCAGATGGCAGGGAGGGGTAAATGGGAATTCCACGGGGAGAGGTGATATAAATATTGCTGTGACAGACCTGAAGCCTCACAGGTCATTCATGAACAAGGCCTGATGTTGGTTTGCTTATCACCCAGCAAACTGCCTCACAGCTGGAGAGAATAAGAGATATGGGCAGACAATAAAACAACCCCTAGACCTAGCCAGTGGACACATCTGAGGGTCTCAAGGCATGAGAAATGTCAAAAATAGCCCTACCACCAGCAAAAACTGACATAATACACTGTAAGACACCTTAACAACCTTTATCAATAAGTTCTGAACTGCTTAGTATCAATGAAACTTCTTTTAAACAAACGTATGAAGCGTGAATCAGTACAGAAAGCTGTTATTTTCTGCTTCTAATAATTGTGTTTTAAATAAGGGAGGTAAATCTTCCTTAAGATACTGCAGTGTGATGATTTCCTGACATGTGAAGAAATTCTATTGGTAACAGTGAGGTTTTCATTACTAAAGGGAGCAAACTCTTCATTTTCTTTTATTTTTATGGAGAATTAATCACTTCCCACAAAGTTATTTACATCAATAGATGACTTAGTATTTCCAAACACTATAACCAACAAATTCAGTTTCTATGGCAATGTCAACATACAACTCCTCTGTTTATTGTACACTCCAAATGCCCCAAGATTCCTTCCAGGAAAAGCAGACTTATAAAATATAATATTCCGGCAGATCCCCTGAGAAGAAGTCTGAGCATGTTAAAAAATCAATGAAACAATAGGCAATGGATCAAGTCTTAATATGCAAAACATTTGCATCAATTATCCTAGAGAAGAAAGCATGTTTCCTGAGCCACTCAAGTTTGCTGTGTCAATCAAAGCACTCAAGAGAGATCTCTCTCTCCTTCCCTTTTCTCTCTCTCTCTCTCTCTCTCTGTAAATTCCCATGGTCTTTACTTGCATGCAGTAAATCCTTTTAATAAACTATCTGCTATAGTAAATTCATTCAATCAATTTGCAGCTGACACTGGCTTCCAGGAGAAGGAAACAAGTCATGCAATAGTCTGATATACATTCTCTTTTACATGCAACGTAACATAGAGGAAAGAAAAAACTTAGCTTTACCAAAGAATGAGAGCCTCTAATCATTTTATCTGGGAATCCTAATTACTAATTTCTTTTGTCTTAATTCAGGGGATCAAAGTGTTCCTACAGTTCTGAGGAGGATTTGGTCCTGCTGCGCAAGAGAACATTTATTTTTAAAGCTTTAGTGTGATTATACCTTCTTTACATGGCCTTAGAAACAGAAAATCCCCAATGTCTCCATTTGTTTTGTTTTAGAATGAAGAGGATTTTGGTTCTTTAGAAACTTGATATAACACACTCTATGATAATCTGTAACTGTCAAATTTAACTTCAATCTAAAAACATTAATCATTTAACTCTCCTCCGTACCTATGAATATTTTATTCCTCTGCCTGGTCACATTACGTTAATTGTGACATGTCCCGTTTTTACATGGTGTATTAATTTTTAATAAACTCAAATCTTCCTTGTCCCAGCATTCCTATTGTAAAACAACAATAGAAAAGACGTAAAAAATAATCGTCAGGCGGGTCTCAGGGGAGATTCGTGGAGGAGCAATCTCCATTATAGATGAGCCGCGTGATTGCTATTCTCTATATTAAGCCTCGTATTTGGTCTCTTCCACAATACTCTGTTATTTAATCACAAAATCAATTCCTACATAAGTAGAAAACACAAGATACTTTGCATGATCGCTGTTTGCAAACCTATTTTCCCTACTTTGGTTATGGCCATGCCATTAGTTTGAAAACTTCCTTACAATAAAATCAATCTAAATCACGAAATCATGAAAAGTTCAGTGAATTTGAAATATGCAATCATAAAATTTACAGGAGAAGGAAGGCTTAAAATAAAAGTCTACTGCAGTGTTTGGTTATTTTTTTACAGCTCCAATAAAAATGCTTAAAAAGCTCATCAACTGCCAAAACAAAGTTAGCTTCTCTCATAAAGATGTTAATCTCTTTTACACTTTATCAGTGTAGAGCAGGTCCAGGCATCAAAATATTAACTCTCTGCAAAAAGAACGTAAAACTCAGCTTTACTGCTTACCTTGCAGTTGTAGATATCCAATACACAGAATTTATATTGTGTTTCATATAATCCTCTTCATATCACAGTAACACTCCACAAATAAAGCAATTAGTCCTAAGTGATCAGCGCGTCGGATTGGTCAGCTTTATCCTGTACCAACTATTGAATCCTCTGTCGCTGGTTTTCTACACCTGAAGAGAAAATTCAATTTCTATATAAGCTTTGTTAAGATGTGGGACTATCATTTCCAGCAGACCAGCATGTATTTCATTGATGCCGAGAGCTTATATGAAATGAAATGCGTGTCCTACGAATTCAATGAATTGCCGTCCAATATATGAACCGAAGTGGAGTGATTGCAGGCAGTGGTTTTTACATTAATAATAAATCACTCCAGCACTCTACACCTCAGTTACAACAGAGAAAATGAGCTTCTAAAAAATAGTAATACAATATAAAAATAATATAAGCATTCACTATCTTAAGTACACTTTCATGCATGCACACCTGTAATATTTCTGAATCATTCTGTACCTTAAAATTCCTAAGTCAGTCCCAGAATCAAAGAAGGGTAGAGCATTGTGCTCAAGTCATTCTCTCCCTTTGTTTGTGTGTTTGTTTGTTTTCCTTAATTCTTTGGGAAAATTTACACAGTCATATTTGGGGGGTTCAGTAAGTTTGTTTGAATGGCAAACTTAGCTGAACAAACTCAGTGACCAGTGTAAAACTAAACACATTTCTTTATATGTTTTCTT